TATGGTTTTCCAGGCAATGAAACCTCATATTGTTGTCTTTTGTGTTATGATACCATGTAGTCTTTTATGTGATTAAAAAAGAATTCATAGTAACCTGCTGCCTCCATCTTCAGAGTGCACTCCTATCCTGAAAATGGAGGTGGTACATAACTTGTGAACTTAACTAGTGTTTGTGTTTGCACCCCCATAATGTGACTCGGTAGAACATCTTGGCATTGAAAGACATTGCTACCGACGTAGCCACGCAAATTCTAGGATAGGTGCACCGCATAATGTAGAAGTCATTGGTCTTTGTAAAATACTGTATTAACTTTTTTTAAGTTAACTTTTGTGCAGTATGAAGTAACAGTTTGACCAGCATGTGAAGTCTGTCTTTTACCTCCATATTTATGGGGTAACTGATGGACCAATGCTCCATGTAGAATTTAGATCATAAACGTGTGTGACGTTTTCCGTTAATTGTGTGTCTGTGTCTTATTGCTTTCAGGTGGTTGAAATTTTGTACAAAAATTAGGTCATTATCTAGTGTCCTTTGAAGCTTTCATCCCCTTCCCCTCTCCATAAAGAACTCTGAGCAGTTCAGCATTGGACACTCTTGAAAACCTTTTAATTTCAAACAAATGTTGGACCATCCCACTGAAAGTTGTTGGAGTTTCACAGCAAAACAATTAACACTGGGTGCATGAAACAGAGTCCTTGAGAAGTTGATAGTTGTTCGGCTGGTCAAGAAATTCTCTGCCTTTCATGGAACCCAAAGGTTCATTGTGATGTTCACAGGAACATGCAGCTGGGGCCGTATTCTGAGAAATTTTAATCCAGTCTACGCCTCACATTTTTTTTGTATATTGTGTTTTGATATCATGTTATCGTTGTACCAGAATGTAGTTCCATGAACCAGAAAAATTGACTTCCTGGACCACCTAAACGGCATTCACAAGCAACATCCAATTCACCATGGAGACAGATGGACACCTCCCCTTCCTAGGTACTGATATATTCAGGAGATATGAGAGCTTCTTGGGTCATACAGGCATTATTAGCGCTTCCCAACACTTTTTCTCTTACTGTATACATAAACACATACTATGCCATACAAACACATATACATATTTCAGAACGTAAGGAATGAAGTCTTAGGGGCTTTATTTTTAAAATTTAATAGGTTCCACTGAATTGTGGTCACATGAAGGGCTCGGGTTGTGGGTCGTGGACTCTCTAATTTTGCAACATCTGTTGTATATTCTGATTATATATATTCATTGCCAAGTGTTCCTGTTTAAAGTTGTTTATTTAAGAATAATTGTCTTTCAGTGGACTTATACTCTATTTCTACTTCTGTCAATTTTTCACAGACCAAGAAACATGGTCTTGTAATTTCTGAACAAAAGTTTGATATTGTGTGAAGTCAGAACAGATTAGTGCAGATGTGAACACTGATGTTTCAGATCCACAGCACCTCACTTGAGTGTCTTGAGTGTGTTGACAATACAAGTTTTGTTTTGTTGCCAGGGGTGGTGCTGATTATCGGCCAGTAATTCACTACCGGGATTTGGATGCACCGAGAGAACCAGAGGAGTTTATCTGAGTTCCTTGACAATCATCATTATGCGTGTGCAAAACTTTAATTACTTCAGGGTCACTTGGTTAATGTCATACTGTACAATGTGGTAGTTAGTGTTCCAGTAAGTGAATATGGACAAGTTGTGATTGACGTCTCCATTTTCAGTTAAAACTTTCTTTGAAACTTTGAAGATTGAATTTCTTCCAGTGAACTTTATATTGTTAAAACACTTACCATAGCCCCTCTGATGCATAAACATAGAATTCATGAAATGAGAAAATATTATAAAACCAAACATCTTACTGCACTCAGGGAAATTTTAGTCTAAATCAGTGGGTATGCTTGTTGGTAACAGGCATACACTGGATCACTAAATTCCGCTGCAATCGAACATATACTAAAAAATGTGTGTTAGTTCCAAATCACATATTGAAGTCTTCAGTCATTTTGTTGGCTGTGGTATGAGTACAAATACTAATTTGCTTTTGTTTCGGGAAACATTTTAGTGTTGCAGTTGGGAGAATGTTAGTGCAAGTAAATCTTCCAGATATTATTGGAATTGTAATAAATGTAGGAACAGTGACTTTTGGAACATATGACACCAGTTTATAATTGTAAGGCTGAGAATGTTGGTACCAGAGGTACAATTCGGGCTTTCATTCGCCACATCTGAATTTAGTCAAAAGTTCAGTAACGTGGACTGTGAGGATCTGATTTGCAGCAGGGTTACCACATCCAGACCTGACAGAACTTGGAGGTGACTATAAAGAATGCATGGTGCTTACTTCCACTCCCACATACATTTTACATTATAATGCTTAAGCACTGAGACAGCTCTGCCTTTTTACTGTTTTGTACAATTCACGTGACTATAAAACTCATAAGGCTTGTTTATAAATATTTGGTTTTCACTGGAAAACACAATGGTAAGACATGATTTTGTGACAGTAGAAACTTTTAATTCCCCTCGGACAAAACATTCTAAGACATTCTGTTAAATGGCAGAAGCTACAAGGACAGTCTTATTACAGAAATGTTTTTAATTCTGCAATAATGCACAAATAAAACATTGTTGAAAGGCCAGTGTACATACAGGTATGTTGCTTAGAGCAACATAGATACCATTTATTTCATACAGTTTTAATTAGTTTTGTTGTGTTATAAATAAGTATATTCATTCAAGATTTATGAACACTTTCAAAAAGATATAAAGCAAGCTCTGAACATTTATAACTGCTAATCACTTCAGAATTTTCTGTGTCATTATTCTGCAGACATTTACCTCAATTTCTGTTGGTAAGACAAGGGAACTGTGGAATGAACATAAGCAGACTATGTGGTAACTTTGCGTGCGGTAATATAATAAATCATTTTATGGTGCTTTCCTCGTCACAGGTTAATGTTCTGTCAATGTATGTTCCATGTAGATTTTCAAGTCGCATGGTAATTAGTGTCTAACATGTTCATATCTACCACCACCAACCTCTCCTCTTAGGTATGTTTGCAGCCCAGCAGAATGTCTATTAAAATCACTTAATCTGTTCAGTCATTAAGTTTTAAGTTTATAATTATCCTGTATTGATTATGTATTGTTTTAGGTGTAGCAAATTTGTGATTTTAGGGTATAGTTTGTAAAAAAAACATGTTATCGCTGTAACATGCAGTGTAACGCTGGCACATATCGATTGATTCACTATAACATTAATTTAATGCTAATACACAGGCATTACTCCAAATGTTAATGGCGAAGATTGGAATATAAATTATTATTTATAGTCTGGTTGTAACACATTGTTTTCACAGAAATTTTGTACCTGGCTGAATATTTTGGAATAGTTTTTCTGTATGTCAGGTATTATTTACTATGTGCTTCCTTCTATTTCTTTTTTAGTTTATGGTCATTAATTATCCTGTTATTCAGTGCTACAGATTCTTAAGCTACTAACAGTGTTTTAAAATAAACCACAAATAAATTAATATAGTCTGATGTGTGACTTCTGATAGAGACAAAAGATGTTTATGATACACTAACATACACATTGGCTGTAAACAATTTCAGATCACTAATTGTGCCACAATATTGCGCTCTTTTCTATATTTTACCGCTGACTGGAGCTGATACCTGAATGATGAAATTAGTTAGAAACCATGAATTTTACAATTGTTCCAAGTATCAACATTCTTTCCCAGAATACATTACTTTTATGTGACAGATGGCTTTCCGATGCATAATAGTAGAAGCCTCTGCATTTCGGCGTTCTTTTTACTGTCCTACACAGTCATGCTGTTATTGTAACGCAGCATGGTACAGTGGTTATGGAACAGCTCTGCAGATTTTCCTGTAGAAGGGATTCCATTATTATAGAATGTTATACCAGAGCATAAGTTGTACAGTCGTGAGTATGATGTGATGAGGCGTCATACATGGGCTGGGTGCGAAGTCCATGTGACCAATTAAGACACAGGAAATGCAGTTCTGAGTCGAGGTCTTGATGATTGAAAACTGTCTTTGCTGGTCAGCAAAAAAAGCAGGGCCCAGTAACAGACATCCTCTGGGTGGCAGTTTGTCCATCAACTCAGAAAACTCTATAGCGACCAAAACAATTGAATAGGAAGTCTTAAAACTAGTGATACAATCCATGATGTATATTTGTATGGCATTAGTTTTGGTGGTTCTGTTACAACCTTCAGGAGTTGTGGATGGGGTTCAGAAGTGGTTTGTTTTAAGCCTTAAACCATTTTCATATTTCAGTTCAACTTTAACTTATCAAAATTACTTATCCTGAATGCATTATAAAAACAGTCATTCCACTTATTAAGTGCATCTTGTTAATACAGTGTTGCAGCACTAATAAGTGTGTACGTGTTTGCTTTACCATGCACCAAGTTCTAAATGTCACTGTTTCTCCAACTGCATTAAAGTTTAATCCATTACATTTCACTTTGAAGCTCATTCAAACAGTCCATGTGGAAGTGTCCTCAGTGGGCATATCAGTCAGTAGATGTAAGTATTTCAGAAATTTTGTAACTACCAAATGAGCATACATATAAAATTAATGAAGAAATTCAGCAGGGAATGATTTTTCATATTTTTATCCTTTATTCCTTCATGTGTCCCATATTCCTTTACCATTGCATTCATTGTAGAACAACAATGAAAAATGTCAGCTGTGGTACATAATTTCAGTGGCTTCTTTACCCATATTGTAAGTACTTCTGATGATAGGTAACAGGCTTTACACTTTGGCAGTAGATAGAATATTGATGGTAATGAAACAAAACTAAGGATTTGCATGAAAAACCTGGGCAGTATAAATTTATATGAGTCGCCTGTACCATAATTATTTCTTAAGAGCAAAATGAAACCTGCAGTAAAGTCCATATTGGTAATCATTTGGCATATTTCCTATTCAAATGGTCAAAAAGAAGATGATTTATCACCATTGCTTTTCAAATTTGCTTTAGAATATGCCATTAGGAAGGTCCAAGAAAATCGGCACATCAGCTTCTGGTCTATGCTGATGTAAATCTATTGGGGGATCACATAAATGCCATAAAGAAAAATACAGCTCTAATTGATGCTAGTAAGGAGGTTGGTCCAGTAGTAAACATAGAAAAGACCAAGTATATGCTGATGTCTTGTCACCAGAATGCAGGGAAAAATTTTAACATAAAGATAGCTAATGGATCTTTTATAAATGTAGCAAAGTTAAGGTATTTTGGGAGTGACAGTAACTACTCAAACTTTGATTCATGAGGAAATTAAGTGCAGATTAAATTTGGGTGTTTGCTAACATTCAGTTCAGAACCTTTCGTCTTTTTGTCAACTGTCTAAAGATTAAAATGTAAAAAACTATAATTTTGCTTGTTGTTTTGTATGGGTGTGAAACTTGGTCTCTGACACTAAGGGTGGAGTGTAGACTGAGAGTGTTTGAGAACGAGGTGCTGAGGAGAACATTTGAACCTAAGAGGGATGAATTACTAGGAGGCTGGAGAAAGTTGCATAATGAGGAGCTTCATAAGTTGTACTCCTTGCCAAATATAATTAGACTGATCAAGTCTAGGAGGATGAGATGGGTGGAGCATATAAGCCACATAGAGAAGATGAATGCATACAGGGTTTTAGTGGGCAAACCAGAAGGAAAGAGACCACTAGGAAGATCTAGATGTAGTTGGGAGGGTAAAATTAAAATGGATGCTAGAGAAATAGGTTGGGGTGGTATGGAATGGATTCATCTGGTTCTGAATAGGGACCAATGGCAGGCTCTTGTGAACACGGTAATGAAGCATCACATCCCATAAATTGTTGGGATCTTCTTAAGTGGCTGAGCGACTGTTGGCTTCTCAGGAAGGACTCGGCTCCATGGAGGGAGTGTGTAAGTACTCCAGAAATACTAGTTAGTAGTACGTTAAATATTATATTTGTTGTGTTATATTTCAAAACAAAAAACTTTGCAAGTAACAAGTTTCTTTTATTCATTTCTTTATAAGAGTTTGTTGAAGATTACTTTCCTGTTTTGTAGTCCCTCTCACCGTACACACACACACCCGCCCATTGTATACCAATGGGAAAATCTGATATATTACATAATATTTACTCTCACGTAATTTTGAAATAGGAATGTTTGATGTAGTTAATTACATAGTGTTTGATTTTAGTATCACATCAAGGCACTAATTTTTGTATTGTAAATAAACATGGATAGACACCTGAGTATTAACTACATCTATAGACTATTATGTGTGAGACAGGTTAGCCACTGTCAGAAATCACACTGTTGTTTTACTGGTTTGTGAATCATAAAGACAGTGCCACTGGGAAGTACAACATAAGAATGGTTTTGTTGCTTAGGATATCTCACTTATCACAGATGAACAGAGTGCACTTAATGAACTCTGATTACAAATACATGTTACTAATCCTGTATTAACAGATTAAAACCATCATACCAATACCTCTTATTTAAAATAATACAAATGAATGTTTGATAACTGTGTATAGTTCTGAACTGTTCACACCAACACTTTGGGGAGGCCAGCATCTGTAAGAAGATGATGATGTGGTTCATCCAGCACCTGTGGCCCCACACCTACTTCAGTGTGAATCAAATACTTCAGGAGTCCTGGCTCGTGTGGTTCCATTCTGATGGACGCAATGAGATCCTGCAGGAACATAAACCCATGACAGAAACATGTTAACCTTCACGTGCTGTAAGAAGATATTGATTTCTTCTTCTTCTTTGGTGCAACAGCCCGAATCAAGCCTTGGCCTCCTTCCATGTGGGAGGTTTCTTTGTCTTTGAAGTGTGAATTTATGAGTAGTGAGTGACACGCCCACTGCCTCTGCACAATTTCTTCTCAATCCTGATTTGTCTGCTAGAGCCATCTAGTAGAGAATCAGGAGAGACTTGGGTGAGAAATGGCCACTGAATTTTGCTTATGAAACATCTCCTTCATGCTCGCAACGTTCTTTTACATGCTGTAAATCTATGACATGGGACCGCCGGCTTTGCTTCCCCTCCAAAGGAAGTTGTGCTACAGATTTTTATCACCCTTAAAAATCCATCTACCTCGGCAGGGTTTGAACCCAGGAAACGTGGGTCCAGCAGCGAGCACGCTAACCACTAGTCCACCAAAGGTGATATATTATTGATTTACCTTGGGTTATTAATTGACACCATTTAACTGTAGCAGTTGTACTAAATTCTGAAAGGCAGTCACAAGAACCAATATGAACAGGTTGGTACAGTGATATATTTGACGTAGGTCAGCAACAATTGTTCTGTCATGACCATTCGTCACACAAACTGTGGGCTGATCCAGGCTGACAAGCAAATGCAACAGAAGAAACTCTTACATTGCACTGAAGAAATGTGATGGGCATGATATCAAGATTGAGTCGACAGTTTAAATTATAAACTTTCCTTTTCTTAACAGTTAATCCCACATAGTGTCTGCTCAATTTTCCAAGGAAAATATTTTATCTGTAAACATTTTCAATGATGGACCAAACATTATAATTATAAAAAGAGTAAATTATGTACTCAAATATGGTATCACTGAAATTAAATACAGTCATTCAAATAAATTACAGAAACTGTTGTGTCACTTGCAAAAGTCTCAAAGAATTTGGTGTATATACACTAACCTGTGAAACAGGTTG